AGGTTGTGACTGTCTTTCTTTCGTCGACATCTACATCGTTACACTCTAAACACCTTGTTGAAATCACACTCTATATTGAATAATGATGATTCGAAAAAAACTTTCGAACGGTTTTTCACATCTCTCAGTTCTAGTAACGAAGGATCTCGACAACGAATATTTTGAGTTTTACTCGTGTCTCTGTTCTCATATCATCAGATTCGATCAAACATATAGAATCGGCAGATTGGAATCTCGTCTCGTGCGTGCATGACCAACCGAACGATCGTAATCCTTCCATTTGGACCATTATTTGACCACGCATTGATTATGATCAATTTAATAAGTCAACTACGCTATCACCAGCCGTTGACCATATTGACATTGACCCTGGTTTAAGCGCAGCACATGTTTTGAATAATAATAATAACTATAACAGAAGAATAAATAAAACAAACAGTTACTTTTAAGTAGTGCATCTGGAAGCGGTCCGGCAAACCAGTACCGATCAGGCCGAACCGGACCGATTGAGAAAGTCAACCGGGCTGGTAGAGACTGGAATATTTCCGGTTGAAAACTTTGAAAATCTCCTCTTTTGACCCTATTTTTGGCTATGAAAACTAAGATTTCATGTCTTTCTTCGCCAGAATAAATAAATAGATGCTCAAGACAGATATTAATTCCATTACTTATTTTAAAGTTCGTTTTAATAAACCTGTTATATCAAGTGTCTTTTACATGCGCTTGCAAACTATTTTATTTCCTGAGGACATTTTTTCTAAAAGTCGATTTTTAAAAATTTCGTTAGTTTTCACCTGTTTTAAAAGAATTAAAATTATTGGAGATTTTGAATAATCAAAAAACGAGTTCTGATTACAACCCAATTATTTATTATCGATTGTCATATTTAAATAAAATAAGAGGTGATTTACAAATGTCAATTAATTACATAAATTTGGCAAGTAAAAAATATTATGAAAAAATAAATAAAAATTTTTAAAAAAATTGAAAAACTAAAGTCAAAATTATTCGAGTTGGACAATACAAAAAACGATGAATTAACATTTGTTGAAAAAAATAAAATGAATTTATTGCAAAAAATTAAATTTAAATTCAGAATTATCCACATCAAATGTTTTTCAATTCTTAGAAGAAACATCAGTCATTAATAATACACACACGTTAGTCAATTGTCCATTGTATCATTTGATCGAAGAAAATGATATTGAAGACTATTTTAGGGTACCCCTCTCTTCCTTGTAAAAATTTTTCATTTTGAGCTGAACATAGAATAATGTACAGGAATGTCTGTGCTATAAAATGAAACCACTCCCACCTCTCTAAGACCTTCCTTGAAAAAGTTATGAGGTTTTTAAGTAAGAAATTGAGATTTTTTAGATTCGTAAATTTTTCTCTCCTTTCTTGAATAGTCAAAATTTTCTTCTTATAGACAGACCGATTGAAGAAAGTATGCTCTTCAAAATGAGACGTCTTCCAGAATTTTTCGATCAGTTTTCACGGAGATATAAGCATCGCGGCAAATGCTCTGTAAAAAGTGACCCGTATATAAAATGCGTTTTTCTCGAAAACTATTTTTTTGCTACTTGCCTTCATTGTGCCACATTACGACCCCCCTTAAATCTCATCGGATCGAGTTCAAAATTTTACCAGAGGTAACCAAGATATTATTACAGAGGTAATTTTTTGGAATTTTATTTAGACTTTACTTTCCCGAGTTTTAGGGTTTCTGAAATTGAAAAACTTAGTTTTTGAGACATTTTTCAGTATTTTTCCTATAACTTGACCTAGAAAGGTTTCAAAAAATTTCTCAAAACTGACCTCTGCGGAATGACCGTGAGTACCTCTGGTAAAATTTTGAACTCGATCGGATGAAATTTAAGGGGGGGTCATAATGTGGCACAATGAAAAACTGGCGAACCGCAATAGTTGAAAACTTGAAACAACGAAAAAGTGCTCCATTGAGTTTCCAATCAGTTCTGAGAATACGAAGTCCTAGCGACTTTTAGTTTTTATTTCACAGCATTTCTACGGAAAGCCCAAAAAGAGGGGAGGGGGGTATCCTTTTAAATGTGTGAAAATATATCAGAAATCACTATAAAGCTGCAATCACACAAAGAATAGTTATTCGTTTACTAATATAAATATAAAAATAATATAGATAATATTTTGACTCAAAAGTATGATAAATTAAAAACTTTATTTAAAAATAACACTTTAAATAAAAGAAAAGAACAAAATTTAATTCAAATATTTAATCAGAAATTTAGTTGTAAATTCAAATGTCCATTTATTGAAGAAGACAATAATTATAAAAAGTTTAATTATAATAATGATGAAGTACCTACCAATTATTTTATTAAAAGATCAAAAGTCAAATAATTATACAACTATAAAACAATTAAATCATTTTATTCTATTAACTGCTTTAATAACAAATTATAATGTAAAAAATGATTTAAAATTAGTTTGTTCGAAATAAATAAAAATATATTCATTAGAATCAAAATTTTTGAATTAATATTTGAATTTTACAGAATTATTTGAAAACTGTTAAAATAATCTTTTAATGTTTTGATTGGAATAGTTTTCACATTTTTCATTATTTGATTGACAAATAGTTCAATAAATATTTTTTCATCAAATAAAGTATTATTTTTATAAATTGAACCTTATCTTGATATAATCATTGGATAAAGTTGTTCATAATCTTCTAGTTTCATTTTATCATCAATTAAATCCATTTCATTTAATGATATGATGAAAACTTTTCAGATATTTTATAAATTTCACTTCTGTTCAAACAAGGGGGGGGGGGGGTAAAAAAAAAAAATAGGCCCGAATATTTTCTGTGGAAACAAAAAAATATTAATGAAAAGAGTTAATTTTTNCCCCCCCCCCCCCCCCCCCCCCCCCCCCCCCCCCCCCCCCCCCCCCCCCCCCCCCCCCCCCCCCCCCCCCCCCCCCCCCCCCCCCCCCCCCCCCCCCCCCCCGCACACAATAAAAGATCGGACCTTCTATTCTGTCTGCAAGCATAAAGTTCTTAGAGAAGTCTTCTATTATGTCCCTGAAAGAAAGCTGTTTTTGTTAGACTTAGACATTTTGTCATTTCATCAGATGTGTGTCCTTTCTCTCTTCTCCATGCACTTCAGAGGAAGAGAGAATTTGCTTTAAATAGAAAATATCGGCTCATTCTTAATAGGCGTATTACATCAAGAAAATATCTTCGGAAACAAAACACAAAAAACATACAAAAAAATGACTACTGATAACATCGAGTCGATTGCACAACTTCAATCGTTGTACAGAATATAGATACAGAATTTAGTGAATTTAGTTTTGTAGTAGTTTACTACAAAGCTAGGTTCACGTGCTTGAATCTCTATTCGTACAGAATTGATTTTGTGTTTTTCGATAGTTTTAGTTTAGAATACTATAATGGAATATTTTCCGTTTGTATATCAAAAAGTTGATTAAGCGGTCAGATAATGCCAGCGTACTTGGAGGACATTCACTAGCTGAAGCAGAAAAAATTCTACACGAACAAGTGGGCATTACATTATTAAAACGCGATTATTCTGAAGTTCAGCAAGGAAGGGATATATGTGATCGTTTAGCTGGTGCAGCAAAAATGCGACTTAAATCCTATATGAAGTCTGGTAATAATGTTTTGACTACTCATGATATTAAGCGTGGCTTTGATTATTGTGGTGGTATTAAAAATACCCGCGTTGCTGTCGCTGAAGTTGATAAAAGATCAAAAGCATTAGAAAAGTCACACATACCAGAAATAAGCTCAATACGAAGCATTGAATATGAAATTGAAATTCACGTGTGGCCACTACACACTTCACGACTTTCACCTGTGATCATGTGCGAAAAATATGACGCGAAACGTTTTCGTAACCAGTTCACCTGTTGTCACACGTGGAATATATTTTTCACGCGTGCCCCCACACCATTTTACGATGTTCACGTGCGACCACAATTCATTTCACGATATTCATGCGTGTACACATCGCGGTACCTACTAAAATTTTCCCATGGGTATATCTTTCGAAAGTTGTACATACATACAGATGAAAACCTTTGTTGTAGACCGAAGGTATTTTCTGTAGGAATATGCCTGGGAATCATCTTGTTCCCCGAGAGGAAGTATTAACTAAAATAGTTTGGAAAACTTGGAAACTAAGAAAAAAGATTTAGGAAGTTCACGAGTAATGACGCGTGAGAACTTTTTTACACGTGGTAACTCGTGAAGATTGATTCGACAAGTATGAATGTGAGATTTATTCAATAGTTTCTCAGGCAAGTTAGCTCAATGGTAGTATCATACATTTCTAATTCTAATCTAGGTTCGACTCTTACTTTGTGGTGATATATAAAAAATGTGATATTTTAGAAACTAGTGGTCACACGTGGAAAAAGTTATAGATGAAGTTGCATTGCTGAAGACTACATTATACCTTGACCATGGTGACCATCTATAGTCAGTTGACTATAGATAGTCGGCATGGTCAAGTTTTTTTCACACGTAATCACGCGTGAAGATTGTTCACTTGTGTACACGTGTGAAGATTTTTCACGAGTGGCCGCGCGTATGATGTTGTAACAACATGACCAAACCGTCGTGAAACTTCCTGTCTTTACCTACAAAATTTCGTGAAAGTCCAAGTTGACATTTCACGATTCCTCACGCGTGAAAAGTCGATAAAAGGACACCGCCGGATAAGTAGCGATATCTGCCACCCTACGTTTTCATATTCTTAAGACATGGTCAGATAGAACTCACTCTGGCGAACATGAATATGATGTCAGAAACGTTCAGAACCACTTAGGA